GGGTGAATTGCTTAAATGCTTTTTGCTTAAAAAGGAATATATCAGTGTGCAACTCAAAAAAACAAGAGAGAAAAATAGACTCCACTCTCTTCATCCCAGACTGAAAGGGACTAAAATACCTAACACTCATTCCTGGGATGAGGGGACTGTGCTAGGTTCACCCAACAAGACTTCTCCAGGCAATTCAAGAGAAAGGGGCATTTTCCATCTCCTCATTCAGAAATGAGCTTTGCTGTTCTCAGGGCAAGATCTGGAGGGCTCAGAAGATGCAGAAGGAAGAGAGAAAACAACGTTTCTCAGAAAAAATGCAGTCTTTAAGGAGACTCACAAATGTTTTTTCTCTCAGGAAAAGCCAAGACTTAGAGCATAGGCACAGAGATTTTAAGCTGCAGGGAGGTTTACGAGCTGATCAGCTGCAGCCTGCCCAAATCTCAGCCCTCGCTGCCTGTTACCGCAGCTTCAAAGGCACAATTATGCTGCAGGAGGCACCCTGCAGGGAAAGTGCCAGCAATTAATACCAATTTAGTGAAATACAGAGGGAATTTGAAGGCGTGGGGCAGGGGCTGGCTGCCTGTTGGTGTCCGAGCACGGAGGTGAGGCGACTACTGTCCGCAGCTTTCCTGTGGGCTGGGATGATGTCCCAGGAGGAGCAATGCCACCCTGTGACATCAGTGGGTGGTGAGGAGGCAGATGATGAGGCAGTGAAATATGAGGGTGAAGGGAGACGTGCAGGGAAGTTAGTGGTGCTGGCAGATTTGAGGAGGGTCATGCATGAAAGATCGAGGCTTTCCCTCTGCCATCTGACAGCCGTCTCACTGCCCACTCAACGGCTTGGCTCCTCCTGATGTTCAGGGTATAAATAAGGAGCTGGCTCATTTCTGGGTGACTTTCTTTTCAAGGGATCCTTCGTGGACCAGTTAATCAAGATGGATTCATGAGGCCCATTTCAAGTCATCAGTCTTCTTGCATTATGCATTTCCTTTGATGATTGAGCCCACAAGCAGTGGAGAGGAATATAAATGTGTGACTTGCTGACACCTCTCCCAGCAACCAAGGCAGTGAATGGGACAGTAAAACAACCTTTGGCGGAAAAATGTTTTCAGTTTAAGAACAGCATAAAGAACAGATGCAGCAAGGAAAACACAATGAGGAAAAAACCTTCCCAATACTCCTCTGTTTTCTATTTGAAAGCAGGAAGGTCTATTACCGCTGCCCATGTTATTTACTAGCAGCAGGACTTCTGCATGTAATCACTTTGCAAGGTTCATTAATGCAGAGAGAAGAGTCCATGGCATGGGGTAAAGAGCAAGTTTCCTCCTCTGAACTGAGCCTGGCTGTCGCTCGAACTGTGTGTTGCAGATGCTGTGAGTCAGAGCAGGCGTGGAGGAGGGAGGCTGTCTCAGCCCATCAGAGCAGATGGGTCCAGATTTTTGTGGTTTATTGTCAGCCTGCTAATTCGATGGCATTCAGGGAAAGCCAGGCATTTTCCAGGCATACGCAAGGCAGGAGGCCGTACTCTCTGCTTTGCCGAGATGGTTTTACAAAGTGAATTTAAATCAAAGGGACAGCTAATCCTGCCGTAGGGCAGAGGATGGACTGGCTGATGTGGTGTCCCTTCTAGCCTGGTTTTGATGGTTCCCAGAGAGAACTGTGCCTGTAGAAGTGTTGTCTTCCCCAGAGTACCTACGTCCTGGGGAGTGACCCTGGTTGGGGCCCTGGGGAGCTCCCTGTTGCCCCTGGGTCCCTCTCTACTTTTTTTGCCAGGGGTGCTGGCACATCGCCTGGGCTGGAGCGTGAGTTCCTGTATTCCTCCTCTTCCTCCCCAGGAAGCCAGATACCTGCATGTCCAACAGATAGGGTGCAAATGGTTCAGATCTAAAGAGCATGAAGAAAGTCACATACCACCAAATTCCAAGGACTTGGCTCATTTCTCTGAACTGCCCACTTTGCTCCAGATGTGGCTGCAAAGCGAACATTTTCCAGTATTCGTTGGCAAATTTTTGAAACAGTTTCAAAACCATTTGACCACTCGATGGGGCCACAGGGTACATCATTCCAGCACTGTTCACTTCTTACTGGACTTGATTGGATGGCAAAGGGAAGCATTTCTGTACTAGTTCTTTCCCAAACTGGTTGATACTAAACATATTGCTGCAAAAGCATGTCTGCTGCCCCTCAGTCATGGGTTGCAATCTTTCCTTAGTCTTTTTTTAAGAATTTATTTTTGGTTTTCCAAATATGGCCAGTTGAAAACTACATAAAAGATCCTTTTTTTTTGTTACATGTGGCGGTAGTTAGTACAAGGTGACAGATGATTGATGACTTCTTTAGTTGTAAATATTGTAATTCTCCTGTTCTCCTGTGTCCTACAGGCACTGACTGATATTCCAGAAAGACAAATAAGTATATTTAATACCTGATGCCACTTTGTCAATAGAAGCATTTTCAAGAGACAGTTTGCATAACGTTTGATATTTTCTCTTTCATACATTAGCCAGCAAGAATTCCTCCTGGGAATTATTTTCTAAAATATCTGGCCTCTGGTATTCCCAGTTCATTGGCTGTCATGTCACTCAGACCTGCTCTGAGCAGATTTCAGTGGTGCAGTGATTAAAATTCCTTTGAAATTTCAACTGTTCCTACACTGACCTCATGCTGGGGCGTGTGGAGGAGGGATAACAGGTGAAAACAGTTATTTTAGCAGTTGATAACAGCCAAAATGCATAGACTTATTCAAGGTTAATGATGTTCTCTATGGTCCCAACTGCCTTAAACAATTGGAAAATCTTCAGGGATCTCCACATTTTTTAAAGAACCTGATTTGTGTTAAAAATCACTGGGGAAAAAATAGTACAATCTTTGGGAAGAAATATTTACTTTTGTCTATTCAGATCATTTTACAATTTTGTGTTAAGATGAATCCCAATGAATATTGTTGAATACTTGCTTCAGTTTCAGAATGGTTTAGTTTGGTGAAAACAGTGAAAGAAAGTGTTTTCTACTGCTGCTGTCTCATTACTGGCGTCATAATCTTTTTTTTTCACTTTTTCTATTTAAATCTGCTTGTTGGAGGGGCTAAATACACCAAGCACCTTGCTCATAGTTTGTGTGAACTTGGACTTTTCTTCATGCCTTTGTAGGCCTTCCAAGGAGGAGCTGGTGGCACGAGCTTCAATTTGCTGTGTGGTAGTTTCTTTTGACAGATCTTTTTCCCCTGAGTACCTCCCAGGAGCAAAATGTCAGTGTAATTTGGTCGTAGCCATGAATAACCAGTTGGCAACCTGTGAGGTCCCTCTTACTGAACCTTAGGAGCTCTGTGTGTCAAAAAACACTTGGCCTGAAATGCATTAAGATGTCAGGGATAATTATACTGCTGCATTTCCTATTCATTAATCACAGCCCTGGCTTTCTGAAACCCCTACGCTAGCAATTACAAACAAGATTGATGTGGGTTTAACCAGCATTCTGAGGAATACATGCACACAAAATATCACTTTTTTTTTTTTTTAACCTAAATCACTGCACTTTGAAGCAAAACAAATCATCTATTTAGAGCATCTGTACACCTATATCCAGTCCTCAGCCTTCTTAGTCGATGCCAAATTGCTTACAAAAAGCCGGAAGAAAAAGTGTGAATGTCTTTAAAGACATTTTTGAGTCACTTATGACTCCCTCGGTCTGACGCTGATGTGAGAGGGCAATTTAGTCTTTTCCTTGCAAGCTGTCTGTTCCCAAAACAGATTGCCATCTAACAGCTTGATCCTGACCTTGGAAGTTAATAAACTAATTAGCTCCCTCAGCCTATGCACAAAGAACATCATTTTGGGAACGTGACCGGTGTCTCATGCGAATAATGTGACGGGGTTTTTTTAACTCACACCATCATTATATGTTTGAGAGCAAGCAAGGGGAAAAAAAAAAACCAGTGGTAAGTATAGAAGGTGCCTGTGGAGAACATGTACCAGCAGCATGTGGTAGAGGACAGAGGGAAGGCTCGAACAAGATCTTCTGTTCCTCAAATGATTTCATCGTGCATAGTCCTCTCATTCATTTTCCCTTATGCATTATGGTTGTTAATAGTACTATGAAAAATAATTGGCTTGTGTTTGCGTTTCAAAGGAAAAAACACCAGACCCACACACAGCACCCAAGCAGGAGGGCAGAGTCTCTGTTCAAGCACCTGTTTTGTGCAAGGAGGCACAGCAAACAGTTTTGCATAATGGCAGTGCTGAAGAGATAGGATAGAAGCTGGGACACCAAAAAATGATCATTTCTCCATATCGTTTGCAGTGTATCTCTAATTACTTTTTACCTCTGACTCAACAGGACTAATTCTACAATGCCACCCCAATACACGTGTATTTGCCCATTTGTGTTCATCACATGCAGTGGGCAATAGATAGGGAAGAACAATAGAGAAATGAAAGAAATATATTCCATTACTAATCTGAAGTCCAAAAAAGTACCCTTTTCTCTCCCAAATTAGCAAAACTTACAACCGGACTTTTCTAACAGACAGGATCCTTTGGCAGACTGCCTGGCCAGTTCTTGATCTGCTGAAAGTTAATTGCTTAAGATTTGTTTTTCCTTACAGATTGTGACTTGAAAAGTAGTAGCCTCTCCAATGGTAACTGAGTTCATAAAAGTTAGATCTGGGTGGATAATTCTTTCTAACTCATTTTGAGAATTTTGTTACTTTCATCCAAGCATTATTTGGGATATATTTTTCTGTTATTCTGCTACCTTTCTTGCAAATGAGATGTTATTACTATGACTATTTTGTCTCCCTGGGTGGAAACCGCAGGATATGGCCAGCCTGTGAGAAAGGTGAGTTCAACCCATCGTCAGGGAAGTGGTACGTCCCTTGAATTGAACCATACCTCGCAGAAGGAAGATATTTTTCCTAAGCTGGTTGCCATATGCATAGATGGTAGGATTCCTCTTATCCATCCAGAGATGTGTTTAACTGATGAGCTTCCTGTGTTTCTCTCCTGTGCTAGGGATTCATGGATATTGACCTGACCAAATTCAAGGAGAGTGGAGCCAATGTAACTGGTTTCCAGTTGGTGAATTACACGGATGCTGTTCCTGCCAGGATCATGCAGCAGTGGAGGAATAATGATGCCAGGGAGCATCCTCGTGTGGACTGGAAGAGACCAAAGGCAAGTGGTATAAAAAAACCCATTTAATTTAGGGTCCATCTGGCTGAGTTCAAGTTACGCTCACCTCTTTGTGATCACACAGAGCTCTGTAATCTCACGCTGAAAACCTGTCACTTAGTATAATTATCAACATTATATCTCCCAGGTGCCTCAACATTGTCTAAATTTTACTAGGCAGAAGTTGCTGCCTGCTAAGAAATACAGAGATTAGTGTATTCATTTAGTCTCCTGGCTTTTACCCTCCTCAAAGCTGAGGATTAAGTATCTCATAATGTTCAGTATATAAAAAAGAAAAGAATTCATTAACTCCTTAACCTTTGACTTGTTTACTAGATATCCAGTAATAATAAAATCTTTCCAGATATTCTTTCTGAGCATTTCCAATCAGTGTGTACAGCAGAGGGGAGATATATTTTAATTCCTAACACGGAAGACCCTGAAGCTGTTGAGGCGGGGGTGGAGGGAAAAGGTTGGGTTTTTTTTCTATCTGACATTTGAAAACAAATACACTTGTGACAAACACTCAGGATTAGAAATGTCAACTTTGGAAGCATTAGTTTTAGAAAGTTGCAAACAAGTAAATCAGCATGTGGGCACAGGAGAAGTAATTAACTCTAACGGTTACCATTCGTGCCAGAGTTTTACTAGTTTCTGCATAAACTTCTGCTTGAATAAACTCATCTTTTGCAGATTTTTTTTTGCACATCAAGGTAGAGTTTTCTGGCCTCCATCTGTGACCAGGAAGAGTCACTTGTTTTTTGATTTTGTGTATTTCACATTTACGCTGAATAATGTATTCCTTAAAAGTGCAGGTCAATGATTTAATTAAACAGAAAGGCTCCGGTAACAGGTGAATGGTTTTTAAGGCTGAGTCCTCTTCAGGGAGTGCAATCTGAAGGCAGTTGGGCTAGAAGAGTGAAAGGCAAAGCAGAACTATCCTTCGCTCCACATCAGGAGGTTCTCCTTCACTCTCCCATCTTCTGGGAGAGGAGGCACCAATGTTCACAAGCCAACAGGACAGTAGCAATTACAGGGAACAAGAGAGTGTTGAGCTTCATAGATGGAAGGATGAAAACAGGGAAAATAATCTGAAAAGCTGCCATGAGACAAACCAGTGTAGCACACTCAAGGTCAGCTCACCCTAATGGGCAACGTACAACTCCTCTTTTTCTAGTACACATCAGCGCTAACATACGACGGGGTCCGAGTGATGGCTGAGGCCTTTCAGAACCTGCGGAGGCAGCGGATCGACATCTCCCGTCGCGGCAACGCCGGGGACTGCCTTGCCAACCCGGCCGTGCCCTGGGGACAAGGCATCGACATCCAGAGAGCACTGCAGCAGGTTTGAAACCCAAGCAATGTGTGCCCTGCAAGGAGGGCTGAATGTAGCCTGTGGGTGGGGGAAGAGGGGTGATGCGCAGCAGAAACAGTCAAACAAATCACGTGGGATGAGGAACTCATCCTTCCAGATTAGAGCCAGGTCTCCTAAACATTTGAATTTTGCCTTTCATGTTGGCTGTCATCAAAATGTTCTCAAAGCCCAGATTGTAGCTTATCTCATACTGTGAGGATTCGTAAAAGTCTTAATAACAGCTATTTAGATAGTTTATTTCTTAAATCTGATAATCTTGCTTTTTCATCCTGCATAGAAATTCAGATTTTTGAATAAACAAAAATACAACAAGAAACTTACAGCAAGAGACAAAGCCAATGCACTCTTACCAAAGCCTTAGAAAGGTAGAAGATTTTAAAATTTCATTAAATTTCAAGACTGACATTAATTTCTAGCATCTTTCTTTTTTTCAGACAAAAATAGATGGATTCTTTGCAAATACTGCAGTTCAGTGTTATCCAAATATAGCTTATCCCATCCTGTTTCCTTCACTGTGAAGAAGGCAAGAAGGATAAACTTAATTTAGTTAATTTGCATCATATGCAAATTTCCCCAAGTATTTTGTTTTGATTTGGTTTTGGCTTACTGGTAAACAACAATTCCTTTCAAACCAGATCTTACATCTGATTTGATTTTATTGCTTGGATTCAATTTGTTCCCAAGCCTGTCATTGACTTTCTGTATGACCTTGGGCAAATCACTGTCATAGTTTCTCCAAACCTTTATAATAAAATCAGCCTCCTTGATGCATTAGGGAGATTGGTTACCTAATAAACATGATATGCTTGGAAGTCCTCTGATGAGCAATGGGTGCTCAAGTATTTTCTTTTATTGAATTTATGAGACTAGGATATCAAAATTAGATGGCTAGAGAACACAATTTTGTGTGTGTGGTGGAAAGTCTCCTCTGAAGTTTCCTCATCTCTTTACTAAGACAATTTCAAAAGCCTTAATTTTTTAACTGTTGTGATTTTGGGCAAAGAACATGAAGAGCCATTTGCAAATGTTGTTTCTTTACCATTGAAAAATTATAATTTTAAAAAAGTTCAACCAGTTCAGTTGTGATGTTCAAAATAAAAGGCTCTGAAACATGCAGGGGAAGAAGTCTCTGAGGGAAATTTTAACTATGAATTTAATGATCATCCAGCATTTAGTATTGTAGCAAGAAAGAGGCAGATGGAAATAGAAGAACTTATGATTAGATTGAAGGTTTCAGTTATCCTTTCTGTAAAGACTCACAATTAGGGCAATTCTTACAGCTATTCACAGTGTGCTTTCTTTTCACCTCCCATTTTCTAATGCCTAAAATTTTATGAGCTGTTTAAAATCAAAAAATTTCTCTACTTATTTCTACTCAAATGTCTGGAATAAACTCCTGAATTGCCTTATTTCTGTTTAGTGTAGGAAGGAGTCAAGGATGGCAGGAGCAAAGATGAAAAGCAATTTGAAACATTCTGCAGTTTTTCAAAAACAGAAATCTAACACATTTCAGCAAAATGTATGCTTTCATTAAAGAGAATTACTTTCTTTCCCCAGGAAAATGCTCACAAATTATTTCTTTAAACCAATACACTGAGGTTTCAGTTGTACTTTGAAAAGATTATGATAATTTTTGAGAGATTTTATTGTTAACTTTATTTGGTTACCACATCTAGTAAGCAGTTAGCTAGTCCCTGACTCCTGACTAACCCTCTAAACCAGAAGGCCACAGAAGCACCTTTCTTCTCCAACTCTCCTAGCCAAGAGCCACGTGCCCGTGTCTTATACACAGATGCACTTAAGTGATCCAAGCCTCCAGTTGACTTCACTGGTGCTTAGCACAGTTGAAAGGAGTCCTCACTGTATTTTGTAGTGATTCAAGGGGTCTCAGAGGTTGGTAAATAATGGAAAAGTTGTGCTGCATCCTCCAAGATGGATGGGAGAGACCCCTTTTGCCATTTCAGTGCCACATGGACATCACAGGATTAAGATTTCATTCATACAGATAGAAGGAATTGCTGTACATCTGCTTTTTAGTGCATATAGAGCTAAAGAGCAGCTGTGGCCTGAGCTTCAGAATTGGTCAGGACCTGAAAAGAAAACCAAAGGGGCCATGAAAAAGCAGGCACGGGAGTGCTTAGGATGATGATGCTTTTCTAATGCATCTATCTTTTATGGGCATATTGTGCCTTGTGAGAAAGGAAAAGCGTGTTTCTCCAAATGTCACCAAGAATACCTCTTGACTTGAAGGAGCTTCAGAAAATACTGGCAGATGTTAATATTCATGACAAACCTTTGCAATAATAGCTGGAAAACAAACACAGTTTAAGCAGATTAGCAACAGATTTCCTCCATAATGATATATCCTCATTTCTTCACCGTGGGTCTTTATTCTGCAGATCTTAGAGTACTTAAAAAGGCTGCTAAATACCTGTTCCCATTTTGCATGTGGGAAGACGTCAATTTCAGGGACAACAGACTTGTCCAAAGCAAGTGGAAAGGCTGAGAACAAACCTTTAATTCTCAGTCTGGTGGTACATGCAGTTATCCAGGTGGTCTCCAAGGAGACTCAAATTTGCACTCCTTTTCCTATGTTCCTGGCCCCCACACACTGCATGTGACTCTACTCAGAATCTCTTCTCCACACCAGGCTGGACACTTTTACAGCAGGTCAAATGGCCATGCTGAGAGAAGTTCAGGATGTGGGATGTGATCTGAGCAACCGTCTTCGGCTTGGCAGTGTTATCAGCAGAGGCTTACGATTCAAAGTTTCCTATGCAAATTTCATTTACACTACTGAATTGTCACGTTTTATTAGGCTGGTGCAGAGGTAATTAAATTTGTTTGTTAACTGATAGACTCCTCTCTATCGAAAGATGGCAGCTGGGATCTGTGGCCATGGTTTCATATTTCCTCCAAATACAGTTCCTGATTTGAACTGACAAATTCTTTATCAGATCTTGACTCCCGGTCAGATTTAGAAAATACAAAAAACCACAAAGCTCAAGGAGTTCAGAGCTGATTTAGCTCACTGTCACATTCCAAGAGGTGATGGGCTCACACATGTGATCTAGCTCTTATGCATTGATGAGCTCAGTAGTAGACCACTGAGTTTTAGGAGAAAGGGGTTTTAAAAGAAGGGGTAAGTTAAGAGAATGGCTGTGCACGTGGCCAGGCATGCTGTAGAGAGTGAACCTAAGTGAAAGGCTGGTATCAAATGTCCTGTCTCTCATGTGAGAGAAATGACTTCACACTCTATCTTTCTTCCCTTCCCCTCTTACTGCTGCCGAATCTCCACTGTGTGAGATGCTGACCAATTTGCTCTCCTTATTGGTATTTTTGTCTTTAAGGTCCGTTTTGAAGGATTGTCTGGCAACGTTCAGTTTAACGAGAAGGGACGGAGGACCAACTACACCCTCCATGTGATTGAGATGAAACATGATGGGATCAGAAAGGTAAAGTAGAGAACAACCTGAGATCCTGTGTCAGGCACCAGCCTGAAGTTCAAGTTACAATATGGTTAGGTCTCAACAGATGCTTCTGTTCGTGAGAGCTTGCATGTAGAGTCACCACGAGCACGTTCTCAGCTCTCTGCATGAGCAAAGCCAAGCACTTGGGAGAACTCATGGTATAATTCATATAACTCATGCATTTACTAAAAAAATGCAACATATGGAAGGGGTTATCAAGAGCAACGAGGGCAGCTGTTTTCCAGGGATTTCCAGGACAGTAAAACCTGGCCAACTCAGCCTTGCTATTGGCAGGGCACATCGGCTCAGGCTCAGCTACGCAACTGCCTAGTTTTCGCTCTCCCACTTTTCTTTTCCAAGGATGAGCCAAGGCAGAGCCAGGTAGAAGTTGTCAACATAAAGGTGAAGCCTTTACATTGACCTAATTCTACTCCCCTTTAAGTGACAAGAGCTTTACCGCTAACCATGTCCTGATAGCTACACAGACATTTCTGCTATTCTGGAGTCTTGATCCCTTTTTATATCCCAAGCACTTTGAAAAATCTGGCCTTGTTCAGGGGTGCTGAGCCCCTGAAACACTAATCCTTTTGAAAATCTGACTCTGTGTGCTTATGTGTCACTTTAGATCCTACTTATTTGAAGAAAAAAGAATAGCTTAGTTATTATAATAGCTCCGCATCAATAAAGGAGCACTACTAAATATTTTGGAATGAGGCATTCACTGGAATCCTTCTGCACACACACACCCACCTCAGTCCCCTGAAAAATAAAATACTTGTTTGAAACTAAGAAAAACTGCAAATAGTGAAAGTTCCACATTTACAGCCCCTACCCCCAGTTCATACTTACACCTGAGAACGGTCGATGTGAGATCAGAGCCCACCACAGTCAAGGGAAAAAAGGCAGATTTTCATTGAGAAATAAAAGAAACATCATTTTGAAGACGTAAAAAGTGGTCTTCCTCTTCTGAGTGGTATTCATAAGAGAACAAATGCAGCATTATGACCAGTTTGGGGGTCTGAACATCAGGAAGTTGGTGAATCTGGAGGGAGTCTAGAGGAGAAGAAACAGAAGGGCTAAATGTCGTGATTTTGCTGTGTATTTACTGATAGAATTATATTTGTTTGGAAGACACACATATCATTGTCATGATGTCTATTGTATCTTAGATCCACCAGGTTAGAGATGCAAAACAAACATACATGTCTCCATTTATGTTGCCCTCGGGCAGACCTTTGGAAGTTCTTTTCTCACTCTCCTTTCTTTCTGTCTGTGCAATGAAGAGAGATGAGAAGCCTGCATAGATTTTTTTTATTTCTCCTCAGCTGCTATGATCTCTAATCTGTCATCAGCAGGCTCCTGGTCATGCCCTGTGTTAATACCCTTTTCCATTTACTGTGATAAGAAATTCCTTTCACATGAGCAGAGCTCAGGCAACTTCGTACTTACACAAGGTGATGGAAAACCTCTTATAAAGTCAAGCCCTCAAAGTGGATAACCTCAACAATGATCTTCCTAGTGATATTCAGTGGCACTCTGCTTCACCTGCAAGCAGTGATAGATCAGCCAAAATCCCCGATTATTAATAAGCACAACTTAACATAAAACTTCTTCCCATTACAACTGTGCAGCTTATTCCTAACCCCAAACTTTTTGGCATTGGCCAGGGTTGTGGGGTTTTTTCTCACTTGATTTTTTGTCCTGTTCTGTCAAGATGTCCTAAGAGTCAGTCCTGTCTTCGTGCAGACTTTCAGCTGTGGGATAGCATTTTATCACCCTGTAGGTTCTGGGCATGCAGGAGGCATGTTCACCATTAGAAAAACATTCAGTAAGTCACACGGGGGATGTGTGAACTCTTAGACTATGGATGGGGCAGGGAACTGCAATAATTTCCCAGTGCTGTGCACCAATTGTTTTTATGTGCATACAAGCACTCTGCTACCTTAGCATATCATGCACACTATTTTCAGACAGGAGACATGGTGGGATGGGGGAGTTCCTGGTTCCCTGGTAAAAGAAATCAATAATCAGGAGAGGAGATCTCTGATTGTGTGTGACTCTGTTTGGATGACCCTGTTACCGTATCTTGGTTAATATCACAAAGATATGTTAAAGAGATACCCTGGCTTTGTATTTGGCAGATTGGTTACTGGAATGAAGATGAGAAGTTGGTTCCAGCAGCCATAGATACTCAAACTGGCAATGAGTCTACAAGCCTCCAGAACAGGACTTACATAGTCACAACTATCCTAGTAAGTGCTGTGACTTCTATCCCAGCTTCCCTCTCCCCCACCTCCCTGATGTGCAGACTCTCTCTTCCCCCTCATGTGCCCTCCTTTGTACTATATCATTTTTATAATAGCAATAACAATAATAATAATAATAATAATGACACTTACTGTTTCCTGCCGGGTCCATAAAGGTATCTGAAAATTGCCGTGGCTAATTAAATAGGTATTAAAGAGCTCTCATGCTTCAGTGTGGAAAATACAAAAGATTATGACAAGATAGTAGAGACATCAGCATAGGTAAATTAGGAACATTATACCTGTGCTTTGTATTTAGCCCACAGAATGGGGGCTGTAATTCTGGGAAATATAAAGAGTATTGTGCAAAGAGGCTGAATCATAGCTTTAAAAACAAATCTCCACTATAATCATGAAGGAATAATAGGTACCCCATAATGTATGGTATCATGTATTGTGTCATTGTATACACTTACCCTGCAGAAACAGATGAAATTTTACTAACTTGTTTGTTGAATGCTTACTATGAGACTGTGGAGAAGATACAATACCCAAACTGAGTTAAAGGTCTTTAGGGCTCTGTCCAGTCCAGCAGATTTGATTCTGCCTGTGCTTACATAGGCAGCCATGCCTTTAAAAATTTAAAGCTCAGGTGCAGTAAATATCCCTTGCAGAACTGCACTGAAAGGTTTGTTACCCAAAGCCCCTCAGCTACTCTGTTCCCCTCAGGCCCATCACTGCAGAAGCTGCACACAGATTCTGCATGAATAAATAGAAAATGCCACAATAAAAATCGTGCTTCGTACCTTCTAAAATAAGCCCATTACATGTGGACTGTGTCCTTCGGTACAGGAACACAAAATTAGAGCTTTGTGAAGGGAGCAGAAGCTGCACACTGGGCTCCAGCCTGAGCCCCTGATGCGCTGCTCTAGAAATGTGGAGTGTGACTCAATATTGGTCTTCTCTGTGCCAGGAAGACCCATATGTGATGCTCAAGAAGAACGCCAACCAGTTTGAAGGCAACGAGAGGTATGAAGGCTACTGTGTGGAGCTGGCTGCTGAGATCGCGAAGCACGTTGGCTACCACTACAGGCTGGAGATTGTCAGAGATGGGAAGTACGGAGCCCGGGACCCCGACACCAAAACGTGGAACGGCATGGTGGGAGAGCTCGTTTACGGGGTGAGTTTCCAGCCTCATCCATTGCCTTTAGCTCTTCATACTTGAGAGCACATTCAAGCCCTAGAGTAAATAGGAGCCCTGTCTTCTGTCAGCCTGAACTGTCTTGAGGACTGCAGCTCTGACAAGGCAAATAATCAACCCAAGTAAAACATTTTAATTTAAGGAGGGATAGCACATTTTGTGCCTATGGAAATGTCAAAATGTTTCTTTTCAACAGTTCCAAGATTCTTTTTGTTTCCATTCTCAGAAGAACAAGTATTGAAAGATCAAACCTTCCCATGGGTAGAATCACCAAATTTATCTTTCCATGATAATGGCTGGATGGCAGAAGGATAAGATTTCAAACACTTGGCATATGACCGGTGAAGAGTAGGACTAGACCATTTTCTGTCTAGCCACTCATTTCCATCACCTCAGAGATACGCATGCACCCTACACTTCTAAACTTATTTCACTCTGGTAGATCGCATTCTGTGTTTTAAGTCAGATGGGTCTAATTTTCCCTTATAGGGAAAGAGGAAATTAGTGTAGGGAACATCAATGCCCAATTCTCTGTGTCACTGTGCTGGAGTGAGGAATGATCTGTCTCCTGCTGGTAGCTCCACGGTATATGCTGACAGCCATTTTGATGCATTTCCCTTTCCATTTTCAAGACAGATTGTAAAATAAGTGGAGAGTGCACATCAGTGTCACTGGAACATTTTTCTTCTCCTGCATCAGTTATGCAATCAAAAAACAGTTCCTGATGGAAGTAAACATCCTGGCATCCTTTTTCAGGCGGTTGGCCTTTCCTTGCCTCTTTTGATGTCTGGATGATAAAGCTCTTTTAGGGAAAATCATCTGCATCAGACTGTGACATCAGTGGATAAATCAGACATGAAGAGCTAGGTGGCTGCAAAAAGAAAATGCTGTGATTTCAAAACACAACTGATAATCAGTAGTGAAAAAATGGAAATAATCCACCAATATTATGGGATGCTCGTTTTTAACATTTCTCTTGCAATTGGTTTTGTCTGATTTCTTCTTAAATAGTTGGGGTAAACAGAGATCAAAGGAGCGTAAGCTGGAGTTAGTAAATATATTTTATCCCCAGAATGTAAATCTCTTCTCTGTCTCTCTTTTTCAGAGGGCGGATGTGGCTGTGGCACCATTAACCATCACTCTGGTTCGAGAAGAAGTTATAGACTTTTCAAAACCGTTCATGAGTTTAGGTATCTCTATCATGATAAAAAAACCTCAGAAGTCTAAACCAGGAGTTTTTTCCTTTCTGGATCCTTTGGCTTATGAGATATGGATGTGCATTGTTTTTGCCTACATTGGAGTGAGCGTTGTCCTCTTCCTGGTGAGTCGCTTCAGCCCTTACGAGTGGCACACTGAGGAATTTGAAGAAGGACGAGACCAGCCTGCCAATGACCAGACAAATGAGTTTGGGATATTCAACAGTCTCTGGTTCTCCCTGGGAGCTTTCATGCAGCAAGGATGTGATATTTCTCCAAGGTGGGTTTCCTTCCCCAATGAACTTTCTTCCAGTTCATGTGATTTAATCTTTCTGCATGCTTTGGAGCTGAACAGGTTCTGCTTTGACCTTCCTGAACCGCCGTGTAGTTCTTTGAATCAGTTACAGATTCAGAAAGGATCCAAGGGTTCACAGGTCTCACCCCCATGAACTTGGGACTTCAAACTTGGGACAATAAAAATACTGTTCTAAATTTAAGCTGGGGATTCTTTTGAAGGAATTTACAGAAATGCAAAAAAGATTTTCTAAAGCCACATATTTGCAATGAAAAGTTATCAGTCATTTATTTTGTTGCCATTACAAAAATAGTCATTCTAGCATTATAGGGAAGTTATAAAATTCCAGTAAAGGAAGGAGAAATAATATGGTAGGTGCTCAGTGAAAGGTTTTGTGGTCTGTGCCAAAGATTATAGATCACACTGATGGCTTAAAGTATTATTGGTCTTTAGAAATGCTGGAAGAGTATTGAGTTTTCCTTCTGATTCCTGTTTCATTCAGTTGTTCTTCTGCCTGAAAGTTCAGTAGGATCCAAAGTCCAAAGGGTTCCTAAAGGGTGAACACATTTATTCTCTGTATAAATTATTGACTCGTGATTACTTTTAGTTATTTTTTCTTGGAAAAACTAGCACAATATAAGGTGGCTGAAAAACTGCATGAAATGCAGAAGATGTAAATCTGTGATAGAGACAGAAGCAGAGACTTATTTTTAAATAATGTCTGGGAACACCTTCTTCATTTTTGAGAGCTGTATTCCCACAAGTCTTATGACAGGGATTTTGCCCACTGCAGGAGCCCATGATACATATATCTTCTCAACACCTTGTTCATACAAAGATGTTCTAAAAGAAAAGAAAAAGATTAAAAGCATAGGAACTAAATAGCTGCAAGCATAACTCTGATAGATGACTATGATAGATTTTCTTATTTATTTGCACAAGTTTTATGTCCAGTAAGTGATATCTGTAATAGCTGAAGGGTCTTTCTTGTGGTATGTGTATATTCACCTGAGGCAGACCAGAGGTGAGCCAGCGATGAGGTTTTTGACGCCTCCAGTGTTTTGTGTCCAGGGCAGAGGTTTGTGAGGTTGGAAAAGGGTTAATGAGCTGTGGCTTGGGATGTGGATCTTATGTACCCATCACTCCCAATAGGTCTGATTTGGAGGTTGGTTGGTTGGAGGGCACACGGATAGGTCAAGCACCAAAGCCAACACACACTGCAGGACATTGCTATTGTTTGCCCTCTCCGCAGCTCCGAGAGGCACAGTGTCTCTCTGCACCACTGACACACACCTGGGTTTTACATGCAAGATCATTGGACCAGGAAAGTTGCTTGTCCCAGTTTAGGCTAAGAATATTTTTGGCCAGATTTTACTCAAACCAGAGGTACTGCCAGTCACGAGAATGAATTTGCAGGCAGTATATGCATTTTCTGCATTTACATGCCATGGTGACATCTGAAGTGATGCTCTGATAAAAGCAGATGGCCTTTTTCTTTTTTCCCCATCCTTCCTTTTTTGGGTTTTGTCTTCCTTCTCTTCAAGGGGAATTTAGATACATGTCTTGTGGGTGAACACTGTAGGCAGAAGTTAATTTCCCACATGCTGGAATGGCACCAAAGCTCAGGGGACGAGAAGGAGGCACAACTCCATTGGCAAGTGGAGCTAACACTGCACAACCCAGCACAGGTCCCGTGGGATGGCGGTGGGAGGCCAGGCACCAGCTTGTTGACTACTGGGTGGCAATTTGTCCAAATATTAATGAGCTTGGGATAGCGGGGAAATAAGAGCCTGCAGGGCATTTTGATAGTGACAGCTTTTATGGATCTGTTTTATCATCTCATCATTGATTAGTAGGAGTCCAGCCGGAGCGTTCAGAAAATCTTCCCAGGAGAAGGAATTTCAGCTTTATCTCTCCCTTGTAACACAGCCCTGTGCGTTAGGATTAGGTTATTGCCATTTTCATTCTTGTTGCTCTTCTTGTCACCATTATTCTTATTTTGGAAAGAGAATGTCTTCCTTTGGGGACATTTTAATAGCCAGTTTGTGTTTCAAGGAGGAGCGTGGAGAGGTGAAAAGCTGAGACTTTGCACAACAGCAAATTTGGAAACATCTTTAATAAAAAGTGTCAGGGAAAGATCAGTGGTTTTGATTCAAATAACAAGATTTGCTCTAGCTAAACAAGACGCTTTGAATCACCATTTCAAAGTGTTGTTTTATTTTGCTTTGAAATGGGAGATGAGAATGATTCTGTCATTGTTATTTTAATGTTGTTAATTTGATCATCCTGATAATGAAAATGACAATTTCATTGAAACAAATATTTTTCCGTGGAGTACAAGAGCACTTTCTGACTACAAATATTTGAAAAAAGAGAAAATTTGAAAAATGAAATATGGGAATTATTATAGCTCCTGGTACTCCGAGTACAGCTCCTTGTGATGGTTGCAAGTGGAGGGGGACATTTCTGTGAAATGTGAAACCAAGGAGGAAGCAGAAGAGTGAGAATTTTCGTAGGATGTTGTTGTACAGAAAGGTTCTGAGTGCGCTCCATTTTTCACATGTATTTTTCACAAGAACCTAGTGCAGGGTTTCTGTGACACATCACTTAGAAATGAATGCCTGGTAGAGCGACATTGTGGGCAGGTGGGGATCTGCTCTATTCCAATATATTTCCTATACGGTTGCTTCTAAACTTATCACTACAATCTCTCAGCATCTCCCCAGTAATATATTAACTAACATAAATAGCTTCTGTTATACATCTGTTCTGTCATTCTCTCCCCAGCAGACAGGAGCAAGTGCAGGGGTGTATTTTGTTTTCGTAGAGGTTTTGGTTTGTTTATTTCAGTTTTGTTTTGGGAAGGAGTAGGGGAAATTTGTCTGGAGGTGTTTTTTTTCCCAGAGCATGTTTGTTTTAAGGGCATATGCCACTATGCATTTATCATTAAAAAAATGTAAGATCAAAACTGCAGACACATCATTCAGCACAGCGGGTGGTGAGGTTTGCAGCAGCTCCTTGCTCTTGTAAATTTGTGTTCCTCAGTCTCAGACCAGTCCCCAGGGAACTTTGCTCCCTCACAGAGACAAAAATTTGCTTTTGAAGGAAAGTGGTGTCCTTTTTGAGGACAGTCTTACTAGCCCGAACTTTAATCGGGTTTTTAAGTATGCTGCTCACAACCTACCAAGCACTTTAAAGGTACACTGTGAATTTGGTGACCTGTGGATGGCCAAGACAGAGCGTAGATGTGGGTTATGTGCTTGTAACCTCTTCTCCTGAGGAGTGAGGCTGCTGGGCATGAGGTCAACTGGTATCCTTGAAGCTCTGAAGCCTTCACATCTAGGCATAGGCTGGATGAGTGTGACAAAGACCAGGCAGTTACCAGCCATGGAGAGTCCCACTGATAGCTGGTGGCAGTCTACGTTGTGCCTTTGGGTACTGCAACATGAAGATGAGCAAGGAATCCGTCCCTCATAAGTCATAAATGGAATGACTCAAATGTAGGCACATAGCTTCAACAAAAGGAGGCTGTGAGCTCATGGACACTGCCCACTGGAGTGTGTGGTCCCCCTTCTGCACTATCACTGACCAGTGGCCCCACTGGATGGGGTTCAGTCACTACCATGTGGACTAAAATATCCTGGTTGAGGTGAGATGAACCCCATTGCTGTCCTTAAAGTCTGTGTTTTCGAAGTGGCTGCTGATACACAGCAGAATGGGGGAGAAGCAACATTTAGGAGTTGTGAGTGGTTTCATGTACATAGTAATGGACCAAAACCAGTGAAGTCTGAAACGAGCCATAAACCATTAGGCTTCGCAAAGTGCCACCTAAACTTCAGAAAACAGTAATGAAATTGCAAAATCACTCATTAAATGTGAAATACGGACCCAGAAAGGAGATTCTCAGAGCAGGCATCAGAGGTAATAAATATCCCACAGCCCAATAGCAAGAGCCTGCAGCAAGAGAAATGTGAAGTAAATATGACTCACATTGTACCATTTTTCAGAAATGTAATTTCATAAATTGTCTTCAGAGCTTAAAATAACCCCAGTGTGTAGCAGCTGTGGAGAGTGGGACCTCGCTAACATCCAGCACGTCGCTGCCATTCTTCGCTCAGGATGGACCCGAGGCTTTTGAGAATGAGACTGAGGGGACATGTGGTCTTCCCAATGTCCTCTGCAGCAAAACAAAGTATCTGAATATTTCATCTACTCGATCATTTTTTGCAAACTAAATTATTTTATTGTTTTGAAAAGAATGAAAAAGCGGAGAGCAAAATATGTATTTTTGTTGGCAGCTTCCTAGCTTGATCTTCTATTTTTTGTTATCCCAAAATATGTTGCTTCATATGGTTTGAGCCCAAAAGAGACTTCCTGTATATTGGAGACTATTAAATTTAATCCAGTCACTCTTCCTGTGACTCAGAAAACTTATGTTTGATTAAAATTAAATACATTTGGCTAAAATATATCTTCCAGAAAGGCATTCTTCTTCCTGTGAAGATAGCATGAGATAGAATATACACGGTTTCTCTCAGCTGAGTGACTAAAGGAGTTTTGTCCCTGCTAGAATTTGACAGGAAGATAGATATCACAGAGTATCACCCAGTAAATGCAGCCATTCTGTGTGCCCTGCCAAAGGAAAATTAAACAGACCTCTTCAAAACCAAACCCATCTTTATGGAGGCTCCCTTTATACTGTGCTGTGGAAACAAAACACGTGTATATTGGATTCAGATCAAAACATCTCATAAATAGAAGGGAAGTGTATAATCATATAGTGACATGATAGGATATGGTGTCACAATACCTGGACAACACAGCTTGAAATTGCTTGTTATATTCTGCACGATGGAGAACCGAGCTGGAGATGCCCTGGTCAGCCTGTGCTGGCAGTGAAATGGTGAATGGAGCTTCCAACACCACCTGGGGCTGGGAGGGACCCAGAGGGCAGAGGACAGGCTGGGAGAGCATCAGCAGGGATG